CAGGCTCTGAGCTGTCAGCACAGGGCCCAACACGGGGCTCAAACCCACAAACAGTGAGATCATAACCTGAGCTGAAGTTGGATGCTTAACCGACTGACCCACCCAGGTGCCCCTGAAATAAATATTTTTAAATGATAATATATTTGAAAGAAGGGAAGAAAAAAACCCTATCTCCAGATATTGCTTGATCACTGTCCAACAGCAGACAGCATTTAGAGAAAGGTCATCCTGGTTTAAAAAGTCTGCGTGGGGGCCGCCTGGGTGGCTCAGTCGGTTGAGCGACCGATTTCGGCTCAGGTCATGATTTCACGGTTCGTGAGTTTGAGCCCCACATTGGGCTCTGTGCTGACAGCTCAGAGCCTGGAGCTGGCTTCTGATTCTGTGTCTCCCTCTCTCTCTGCCCCTCCTCCACTCATGCTCTGTCTCTCTCTGTCACAGAAATAAGTAAACATAAAAAAAAAATAAAAGAAAAAAAAAAGTCTGCCTGGACTAGCAGAAAAGATGCCACAATGGAAATCAGAGGGTGTGGTTTCTGTCCCTAGCTCATGTGACTAACCTCACTGAGCTTCAGTTTCCTCATCTGAAAAGTAAAGGGCCTAAGTAAAATAGATGTTTACTTTCTTCTTCTTCTTTTTTTTTTTTTTCCCTTTTAGACTAGATGTTTTCTAGGTATTTTCTGGATCTAAAGTTTAGTTACTCCAAAACGTTAATTTTTTTTTTATTTCAAAAATTTGAACACCAAAATTTATTTTATTATATTTCAAATATTTTCAGTCTCTCACTCTACTGGAAGGTTTAATTCCCTCCAAAGAAGAAGGTGGTATTTCATGTGTCGAACATCTTCATAAATTATTTGTGTTTGGCCTAATGTGGAGTTTAGGAGCCCTTTTGGAATTGGAAAGCAGAGAAAAGCTTGAGGCCTTTTTACGAAGTCATGGAAGCAAGTTAGACTTGCCAGAAATACCTAAAGGCACAAATCAGACCATGTATGAGTTTTATGTTACTGATTATGGTAAGTACAGTGACTTACACTTGAAATGAGATGATCTCTTTTTCAATGAGAAAAATATAAACTTTCATAAACTCTTCTATAGGGGAATATTAAGCCGATTATAAATAACTTGATTGCTAATAACATTTTTAAAAAGCGTAGATGCAGGGGCGCCTGGGTGGCGCAGTCGGTTAAGCGTCCGACTTCAGCCAGGTCACGATCTCGCGGTCCGTGAGTTCAAGCCCCGCGTCAGGCTCTGGGTTGATGGCTCAGAGCCTGGAGCCTGTTTCCGATTCTGTGTCTCCCTCTCTCTCTGCCCCTCCCCCGTTCATGCTCTGTCTCTCTCTGTCCCAAAATAAATAAACGTTGAAAAAAAAAAAAA